GTGAATGTTGTGTATGCTTGTAGAGGCTTACATATTAATCTGTCTGTTTTTAATTATTTTTTTATATTGTTTAATATGTCTAGCTGTAAGCATGCCTTAATATTAATAAATAAACATTTAAAATGTTTAGTTTTTTAACCAGGTTCATAATTATCAAGATATTTTCTTCAATAATTATCCGTTGTTACTGGCACCAATCTTTTAAATATGGAAATGCATTCATGGTTGAATAAACTTTTATATTTGTTGTTTTAAATTATTTATAAAAACTAGACAAAAAAAACTGTGAAATCACTTTGAGCTATTTAAAAAAATATAAAGTGTACTTATAATTTTTTTTTTTTTTGTTTTGTAAGTCCATCCTAAGTATTTGATAGTTGTTTTAGGATTATTCCCTATAAATAACATAAATAACAATTCCTAAACTATACAAAAGTTTGTGTACTTTTTTATAACTATTTGTATAGGTATAGCGTTATCCAGAGAGTTAACTGAATAAAAAAATATTTAGGTTAAACTATACTGTTTTTCTTTTTTTGCCGAAACTGAACATACGGGCGGACACTACTGTTCATGTCACCAGGCTGTGTCTCATGAACAGTGAAAGTTAGATGTTTAAAATTTTCTCAGATGATATATTTCTGTTGCCGCTATAACAACAAATACTTAAAAACAGAATAAGCTTTTAAGGGAGCTCCCATACAACAAATGTGATTTTGCTGCTCCGACTCACACTTGGTTTTTTATGATATTATGAATCAGCCAGGAATCATAATGACTTCAGATGGTGAAAGCAGGATGCAAACCACAATAACAGAAGTCATAAAATTTTCATATGTTATAAGCATAGTTCAGGGGTGCATTATAAAATCAAGTGGTTATACCTTAACATCTTAGTCCTAGCCTTCTCAGCCTTCTTCCTGTGGATGTACTCCATGAGCACACGCTTGTTCTTGAACACATTACCCTTCGCCTTCATGTACAGGGCGTGATACAGATGCCTGTCAATCTTTTTGGCCGTTCTGTACTTCAGCAGCAGTTTTCGAAGGACCCTTTGTCTTTGTACCCATAGTTCCTTAAAAAAATTTTTACAAATGAATTAAAGAGGGTTAACTCAATTACTGTATACAATATACTAGACTAGTAAGGAATATGAAGTGTCACAGCTGCAATATAATTTAAATTAATGAACTATAACTATAAACTGCAAGTTTGACAAATTCATTGGAAATTAATAAAACAAACAAAACATAATCAGCACTTAAAACATACTATACTGTAAAAAACATGTCAAATATTCAAAACTTTTCCCAATTAAGACTTTAAAGAATTTAACAATAAATTGTATGTTTTCAGCATGATATGCCTATAGTTTAAGATTACGATTGTTCCTTGAGTACTTTGATCTATTATTTTGTTTACTCTTTGGAATCAATATCTATAATATATAAACAAAAACTTAGTTTTATACTATTTACCTTTTGTGGCATACGTGCATTTGCAGTACCTCTTCTCTTACCAAAGCCACAATGACGACCCTTTCTGCGGGCTTCTGTGTTCTTACGGACACGGGCACGGGAATGTACCGCTACTGGTTTCTTGATGACCAGACCATCCTTGATCATCTTACGAATGTTCTGTCCTGTAAATTTACATACACTGCTAAATTTAGTGTTCTATGGTGTTAAGAACAATATAATTACTATCAAAATATATTTTTTTTTTAATTCTGTTATTTGTTCGGAGGCGATGACATTATTGCTACATTTGGCAAAACAAATTGGCTTTATGCACAGTAATAGGAAGAAAAATGGAATGTACTTACTGGAGTTGGTGTTAGCGATTTCATTGATTTCATTTGGATCTAACCAAACCTTCTTTTTACCACATCGCATAACAGAGGCTGCAAGCCTCTTTTGTAGCTTTAGGGAACTGTAACACAAGAAACCAAACCGATGACCACATGGCCTCAACAAGCTGATAATATTTTCGACGCAAGTATATTACAAAGTTGCTTATAAAAATATTCATAGTAAATTACAAAGGATAAATAATTATTTTTGGCAGTCGTCTTAAATAATATATCACTGGATAAATAGTTTTTTTCTCAAAAACTAACCTCATCTTGACACGGTGAGATCCAACGCACACAAGAAAGAAATATGGCCGGCTATCAGGGTGACCATTTAATAAAATATAATCTACTGTTAAATGAATCTGAAATCTACCAAAGGAAGTATTTTAAGGAAACCATTAAAAATACACCTCACTAGACGACTCTAGCAATAAATGTTTTTCTTTCTTTTTAACTAATATATTGAAAAACTGAAATTTGCATAGTTTGAAATTTAGATATCAATACAAATACGAAAAAGTAGGTACTAACAGAATATGAGTTATTTATTGAATTTTGAAAATTTATTTACTTTCAAGTATAAAATTAAATGAGATTTTTTAATACTTAAAAAAAACGAAAGCACTAAAAAAGCACCTCCACTAGATGGCGACTCTAGCAAAAGTTGATTGTTGCAGGAAACGAATGGACCAAAGACAGTAATTTCCATTCCTTTTTACTAAGATATAAAAAAACGGAAATTCGTAAAGTTCGAAATTTAGATATCAATACAAATAAGAAAAAGTACAAATAGAATATGAGTTGTTTATTGAGTTTTGAAAACTAATTTACTTTTAACATGAAAGAAAACCGGAAGGGTTGTTATGGAAAAATCAAGAACGTACCGTAGTGACATCTAGTTGGATATCGGGAAATAATGCTTTTTATATTAATTCCTCATTAATTTTTAAAATCAGCACTATATTTATAAAGCATTTATTTCTTGATTTATAAAATGCGCAGATTCTATATTTCCAAATAAATAACTACTATTTTCAACATACTCTCAAATAATTCACTGTAAAATCTGTTATGAAATATGATTTTGTTTAACAAGACTCAGTAGCGGACTGTAGGACTGTAAGTATTAGTTAGAGAAAAAATGGATTACCATAATTAAGTTAAATATCGAGAATTTGAACAAATCTAAATTACCTAATTTAATACTTCTATTTTTATTAGATGCATCTGTAAAAAATGTTTATTTATCATTAATATCACAAAAAAAAGACCTTTTTTTAAATTAATTACACGATGTAATAATTCATAATTTTCAGTTGATAACTCTCACATCGTTACATCCTCTGAAATATATTTGAACGAAGCGATGGCTGGCTCATGCGTTATGCTCGTCAACGGGTGCTGCCTTTGGGGATGAGTCTGCACTGGACTACTTAATTTCGTTATTTTTCTTTTTATATGAATATTGTATATTGATTTGTCAATGAGTATGTATGACTCGGAAAAATATATGTCATGTTATTTCTGATATTGTAATGAAAAGTAACTTCGTAATTCACATTTCAATAAGACTTCTCTATGTGAAATAAAACAGAAATGCAAAAGCAGCCCTTGTTAAGTTTCTTTCAGTACAAGGTCTTCCACTGTAGTTTTGCACAAGTACTGTGTTACAGCCTAGACTGAGTTGATTTTAATGTTTATATTAATATTATTCAACGTGTGGATGCATAATGGCACATATGAAATTAATGCACATAAAAAACAAGCTGTATTCTGCGCTCCGCTTTTTGGTCTTCATTCCAAACCTGAATTCCGTCGAATCGAGTCAATGAGGAAGTATTTAAAAATAAAAATTAGTTATTCTTAATACAAAATGCTTAAAAAATCCACTTGGTCGTTGGCACCCTGAGATGGGAATCGAACCCACGACCTTTCGCGATCCGGGCGTCTGCTCTAACCACTGAGCTACCCAGGACCTAAAACGACTGACGAATCTTTCAAGCACTTGTTACTTTTCGCTATTACAGAGCGTATTCTCATCAATGTACAGGCAATCACCCAAACAGCCGAAATAAATATTGTTACAAATATTGAAACTTTCGATAAAGATGAGAATATTGTTCTAATTATTATATTTTGATTAATTTTGCATTCACAATGCCATACTGAATTAAGAATAATATTCAGTATGGCATTGTGAATAAAAAATTAATCAAAATATACAAATTAGTTCTTGAAATCAAACTAGATGTCACTAGCGATGTGTGGATTTTGTTTATGATATTCATTCAAATTTTGTTTCTGACTAATAAATGTAAATTGAGTATCGAAAATTAATAAGTATGACATCGTTTTGTGTTTCTTACAATAACTAACTTTCAGATTTATTTTAATTTATTTTAATCGTAAGTTTAAGTTGTTTATTATGTTACGTGTAAAGGAACAAATACAATAAAATTTACAGAGGTATAGAATGGCATATTTATTGTTTAATTTACCTTCATTTATTTTATATTACCACATTCAAAATTACAGCTGAACACTGGCAGAATTATTCACATTCTATAGTTTTAGCATGGCCTTGATTGGTTCAAAACTTTCGCCGCTTTAGCGGAATATAGCTTGACGGCATAATGAGTTTTTTTTTATTTTCTAAGGGGTTGAAGAACCGCTTTCATCTTCAGAAACCACTACAATTACACAGGAATTTTCTGCTCCATTTTAAATCTATATTTAGTCGCATGATACCTGCCCATCCAACGTGCAATGCACGGGCAATCCTCTAGCTTTTAAGTAGGAAGGAATCAGAAGTTGGTCAAATTCATAATCTTCAAATCCATACTTATGTTGCATTTATTTTTATCAAAATATTATGAATTATAAAATGTATATTGCTTTCTATACACTGTAATTTTTTTAATACAGTGAACAATAGATGACACAAAAATACAATAAATCTACTGTTTACAGTGTATCTGGCAACATTGGCAGTCCGTCACTGTCATTAGACGTAATTTAGATACGTAGTATGTTCCTCTTAGTCTGTGGAATTTAGTCATCTCTGATTTAGTCAGTCCAATCGCGTTATAAGCTTGCTTGTTTTTTTTGTTGATAGAAGTCTTTCGTTTTAGACTTCGTAATAAAAATGTCTCAAACAAAATCCGTAAATATAGATTTGCAAAGAGAGAGGGACAAATGCACGTTTAGTGTTACTGAATTAACCCATCTTCTAGATGGTGGACCACAAAATACAGAAGAAAGAAAAAAAATAGGTAAAGAGTGATCATTAACACTTTTGAATTTCTTATCAATCACATTTTATAATACAAATTATTGAAAGACTTTTATTTGGCTCAAAAAATAATACAAAAGCAATATAGTAAGTAATAATTTATACAAATATTACAGTTAGTGGTTTTACTACTTTTAGTAATTAATAGAGATGCGCTGAATAGTGGTATGTATTCGGTTTAACTTTACCGAACCGGATATTCGGCCGAATTATTCAGTTTACCATTTCATTATTTTAATTTAGCCAGAGTGTTTCCAAGTGCGCCTTGTAATATAGCGAACAATGATTTCCGAAGCAGAGAGCTAATATGAAGAACTGCTATTGAAGTGGGATGGAGGCTTACTGTAGGTTATAATTAAATGATATTTTAAACCGATCAGGCTGAGGCTTTGCATGCATAAAGCTACTATGACATAGACATCCCCAAAGAAATGATTTTGATAAATTCTACCCCCAAGGGGATAAAATAGGGAATGAAAGTTGGTATTAAAATGACAATTTTAAACCGATCGGGCTGAGACTTTGCATGCATAAAGCTACTATGACTTAAGCATCCCCTAAGAAAAAGTTGTGATAAATTCCCTCCCTAAGGGGATGAAATATTCATTTCAGGTATTTTACATAATATAATTAATAAATATTCGTTACTAATAAATAGAATTATTAAGAGGAAAGATTTTTAATTCTTGTTTCTTTGCATTGGATAGGCGCCGAAATTATTTGGCAGATTATAATTCATTCTATCCTTATCCATAAACTTAGGCTGATTGGTATTCACGGTGATTTATTACGATGGTTTGCCTCATACGTTGATAATCGTTGTCAAGCAGTAGTTGTAAACAACTATATTTCGAGCTGGGTATCCATTCCTAGTGGCGTTCCGCAGGGCTCGCTGGTTGGACCTTTGCTGTTCATTAGCTTGGTCAATGATATTGATGCGTGTTTTTGTGCGTCGAGTCTTCTCTGTTTTGCTGACGATATGAAGATATATGCTAAAATACACAATCTTAACGATGCTAAGTCACTCCAATACGATCTAAACAGACTTGAAGTTTACTGTAGTCAGCATATGTTGGAACTGAATCCATCTAAATGCACAGTCATGACTTTCAGTAGGAAGAAGACGATGATTGCATATGATTACACGCTTCAACAGCTTATTTTGCAACGTGTCCAATCTATGCGAGACCTCGGCGTCCTGCATGACAGTAAGTTGTTGTTCGATAAGCACATAAATATTATAATTTCCAAAGCAAGCAAAGCTCTCGGATTCCTATATCGTAGCTGTAAGGACTTTACCAACGTGAAAACATTTAAAGTACTTTACTGCAGTCTTGTACGTAGTCACTTGGAATATGGCTCACAGGTGTGTGGAATCCTAGATATGCCGTTTATATCGAAAGGATTGAAAATATACAAAAGAAGTTTTTGAAATATTTATGTTACCGCACGAGGACGATATATAATTCCAGTGATTATATAGAATTATGTAAAAAGCATCACTTATTAACCCTGGAAAACCGTCGAATGATAGCTGACATTATATTTTTAATGAAAATAGTCTCTAACATTATTGATTGCCCCGAGCTTCTTTCATTATTGAGCTTTAATGTACCAGGAAGGAATCTTCGTTATTATAGGCCAATTCATGTAATTATAGGCAAAATACCTTTTTACTCCGTGCAGGCAAATGCTTCAATGATTTGTGTAATAAGGTGGATATAGACCTATTTTGTTCAAGCTGTGACTCAGCAAGACAAATTATTGTTAATCTGTTAACTTGACCGAAGGCTTTTTTTGATACGTTTTTTTTTTCTTTTATTATTTAAATATGTGTAATTGTTTGATAAACATAGTGGTAACATTGGTTTGTGTCCTTATTATAGTTTGTATCTATATGTGTGAGTCTATAATTGGTTCTCTGTTTCTTATTATTGTTTTTTTATTTGATTTTATGTAACTGTTGATTCACCTTTGAAAATAAAATAAAAAATTTTAAAAAAAATCTTTCATCTACAAGAAGCTACATATCATAAAAAATATACCTACCTGTTAAACAAAGAAAAAAACATACTTTGTTTATCAAAGGCATACTTTGTTTATAAATTTTATCCAGATTGAACTATTTATTCAATCTTGATAAAAGTTAAATGGAACAACCTCGGTCCACTAAGCTGTTGAATAAAAAAATTATTTTGAAAATCAGCTAACAATTCGGTGAATATGCATAAAAATTTTCATCACCGTAGAACATATAACCTCCTTTTCGATTTTGAAGTTGGTTAGTCTCTTGCCGAAGAGTGTCGAGAACTTAGTGTTTCTGCACCATATATACATTTATTAATAATAGATATTAAAATATGTACAAATTTATTTGTGCTTGTCTTTATTTTAATTCGGATTTCTATTATATTTTCATTCTTATAGTGACTATAGTTTATAAGATAAATATTTATGATTAGAAGCTACATTTTTACAAAAATTTTCCATACGCAGTTTTGTTTTTTAGTTCTATACCTTGTCATGTAGCCAAGAAAACAGAAATACTCGAAAAGTATATATTCGGCACCAAAACCGAATAATTCGGCCGAATACGAATAGTGAAAAACAAACAAATATTCGGCGCATCTCTACGAGTGATTATTACCTCGTAAAACACAAATTAAAAGATAAAATTAGTTCATCTTCCAACACTTTGTTTTTGTTACATAGAGGTTTTAACTATATAAATTCTTGTTAGGTTTCAAAAACAACAGTGATGCCTGTTGTGGATGTATTGCATGTCTCTTTTTAAATTTTTATTAAAATAAAATATAACTTTTAATAAAATTATTGCATTTACCAACTTATCTTCATAAATACCAAGATTTACCAACAAATAAACTTTTGCAGTTACTTATATATTTTATAAAAATATTGTAACAATTTTGATATATTTTAAAACCTGTTGTAAAATAATATTATCTATTTCTAGAGGATATGGTCTTAAAAGAGGGAATACATAATGAGGATATACCATCTGAGTACCTCAGTCATAAAGAAAAATATGAGCAGTCTGTCAAAAAGGCATGTCTATTGTTCAAAATGATTAGGAGACTTCAAGAAGAAGAGAACACTGGAATGGAAAACTATAGGTAACTGGCAACATATATATATATTTTTTTTATTTATAATTAAATTATTAGGAATATAGCCTTTGGGCCCGATCGATCGTAACGCAATTTATGAATATTTTTTACCCTTCCATGTTACATAACATATTTCTGACCCTTCCTACCATCCATAAACGTTAGGTAACACTCAAGTAACCAAATCTATTGGTTTGCTGGCACTTTTTATGGGCCAGGAACAGCTGGTGATACAAAACTCCTTTGAGGCCATTACAATATCAACCACAGAACAAATAAAAAGGTATATGAACTCACTCTCATATATGACTATAGAAATAGTTTTTTGCTAACTTTGGTAGATCTTGACTCCCTATTTCTGTATTCAAATAAACTCCCTTCGAACCCCCTTCCATTACTGTACCGCGTAATAACATTTTACAAGACCACCCCTCCCCCAAATTGCGTTAAGTAATACTTGAACGCCCCTTTTGTCATCTGCTTAAGATGTTTGAAATTGGCCCAGTAGTTTCGGAACTCATTCAATGCATACAAACAATCAAATCTTTTCTCCTAACAATATTACTACACATAGATTAAACTAAATATGTACTTCACTTTTTTATTTTGTTAATGTCTCAACTTTTACACATTTGTATATAGTAATCTTCAAAATTAACTAGATTATTTATTAATATTTAAGAACTATTATTTAAACTAGATCTTGTATGCATGTACTCAAGAATCAGCCTTTTATTTTTATTTTTAAATTTTGGAAAGACAATAGAAATATCAGTTTCTATATTTATAATTAAAGGGCAGTACTTAGTGGAATGTTGGGTTCGGCAATTCTCCAAGATGGCTCACCTCTCACGCTCCATTATGTGATGTTCATACCCACCTTGATGGGACAAGGGACGGTCGAACAACAAGCATACTGGATTGGAAGGGCTTTCAATTTAGACATTATTGGAACTTATGCCCAGGTAAGAGAGATACTATTTGAATAAGAGTGGAAACGCCTGGTTTCCTTATATTAAAAATGTTTAAATATGTATTGTTTCAGACTGAACTTGGCCATGGTACTTTTATCCGTGGACTGGAAACAACTGCAACATATGACCCGGCCACAAAGGAGTTTGTTTTGCATAGCCCCACTCTGACTTCGTATAAGTGGTGGCCTGGCGGTTGTAAGTAATATAATAAAAAATAATACTTGTTATAATTTAAAAAAAAAGAGTTGAATTAAGAATCTTCTACTTTTCCGAAATCTGTTAACTAGGCCATTGTACAATAACTTTAACGAAAGTTGTTTTTATATATCTGACAAAATAATCAATCTGCATGTTTATTTAGGAACGTCAGACAAAAGTGACGAGCTAACCATATGATATGACATTCGACCTTGCACAATCCACCGATGATCCCTCAGTTATTGACCCGTAATCTGATCTTGACTATAGAAAGCTAGAGCGCGGGACGTGTATCTAAGTCCTGGTTGGCTGTATTTATATTTCAATCAAGATTTATAGAATGAATCGGTGTATATCCATTTAAATAAGGCCCCTTATTGAATTGCTCAAGTATGACCTAATAAAAATGAATTTGCGTTTTTAATGTATCCAAACTTGAAGAATGGTAATTTAATACAATAATTGATTCTTAACTTAAATCATTAAAAACACACTGACTTTTTAACCCGACTACGGCGACGAAACGAAAAGGAGGGTTATGATTTTGGTCGATTTATACATATGTTTGTATGTAAGAATGTCTCATCTTGACTGGGCAAATGAGGTATCATTAGAAGAGTTAGATGTCCGCGTGTTATATTAAACTAGCTTTCCCTGGTCTTGTATTAAACGTAAAAACCTTCCTTTTGAATCACCCTATCTATGAAAAAAAAAACCGCTTCAAAATCCGTTGCGTAGTTTTAAAGATTTAAGCATACATATGGATAGGGACAGATAAAACGACTTTGTTTTATACTATGTAATGATTAGCAACAGTGTCTTCTAGAGAGCCTAAAGTAAGAAACTAAATATATTTTCTTACTTTAGGCTCTCAATTTCAATCATTCCGTGTAGGGTGTCAAATGAAAAGGTTTACTCAGCACATTTCAAATATATATATTGATAGTTTTTGCTTAAATACACCAGAAAATTTATTAAATAAAAAAATAAGTTCCATAACTAATCCTAAATCACGCTCTAAAAAGTGTAAAACAAGAAATTTATTATATATACTAGCTTTCGCCCTAGGGAAATGTTAAGTAGGATAAAAAGTATCCTATTATCTAAGTCAGCTAATACCCTATCTGTATACCAAATTTCATCAAAATCCGTTCAGTAGTTTCGACGTGATTTAACTTTTTTAATTAGGGATGACTGAGAGTGTTATAAACGTAAGAGTAGACAATAGAAAAATACAATCAGAAAGCTTCGAACTGCTGAGCTATCGGGAGTTACATGTGTTATTGTGAGCCAACCATAATAGATAGGCATATGCTGTCATGGGATATCTTTTATATAATTTTAAGGAGAACATTTCCGTCATACATGATTTCTGGGTAGCTTTAACCATTAAGGTTGCTCACGCGACGGAAGCTTCAAAAATGGAGTAACTTTTCCCGTTTTCCCAACATTTCCCTTCACTGCTCTGCTCCTATTGATTGTAGCGTGATGAAAAGTATACTATAACCAGCTCAGGAGTATGAAAAATAATTGTACCAAGTTTCGTTAAATCCGTCGAGTAGTTTTTGTTTCTATAACGGTTATTTTAGGCATCAGTATCGATCCCTAATCACCCCCTGATAGTTATTTTGGAAATAACGGTTTGTATTCCATAATTTAATTACAGTTTAACAGTCAAAAAGATCTAGTTAGTTAAGTTAAAAATCGAGAAAGTTTGCCAGTGTATTGCGAAGATGATTTTAGACAAAAATAGGTCTTTACATTTCTCTTGATTATTCATACGAGTAGTACATATTAGTATGTCTGGTACAGTGGCACACACCGCCAACTATTGCATCGTGATGGCCCAACTGTACACCAAGGGCCAGTGTCACGGGATCCACCCGTTCGTTGTCCAACTCCGCGACGAGGACACGCACATGCCCCTGCCCGGGATCAAGGTGGGCGAGATCGGCGCAAAACTCGGAATGAACGGAACCAACAACGGATTCCTGGGCTTCGACCACGTCAGGATCCCGAGGGACCATATGCTCATGAAGAACTCAAAAGTACTAGAGGTGAGTATCAAATATTATATAGGCCATATACGGAATAAATGGAACAGAAGTCTTTGGTCATGAACTATTCCTGTTACTGTTTGTAACTGTCAAACTTTTTACGTCAGTCAAAAATAATAGTTAAATAGTCAATTAAATATTAAAGATTTTTCTTTTTACTTTTGACTAGAACTGATCACAATACAGAATTCACATGTCTCATTTACATAATTACCGGTATTAATTTAAATAATTAGTAATAGCAAATTTTGGTGTTAACAGAGAATCGGTTTGTGACGAACCAAAATGGTTTTTCAAATGTTACATTAGCTCTACCACACATAAGAATCTACACTATAAATAATAATAAATAAATATATAAAAACATCACATACATTGCTCAGATTCCAAGATGAGTAGCTAAAGCCCCCGTATTATGGAGTATCTGAGACAACGAAGGTATCACAACATCCGAGATACACAGATCCGAGACAATATAGAAAAGTTCATTTTCTACATTGACCCGACCGAGAATCGAACCCGGGACCTCAGAGATGGCGACACCTTGAAACTGGCGTGCGAACCACTCGGCTACGGAGGTCGTCACTCTAATAGGCTACTTATTTATTTTAATAATTTACATTTAACCTGCCCAAAAGCGATAGTGGAAACTATAAAAAAAAGAACTTAAAAAAAAAAACATCAATGTTATTTGACAAAAAAAATTACATAGGTCAACTGCAAATATTAATTGAAATATGCTTTTGTTTGGAGCATAAACAGGCATATTTTTCGTTAATTTTGAAGTTTTAATTTTTCACATCTTCAAGGGACTTTACACCTGAATATATAGTTTTAATTTCTACTAATTAACTCCACACTTTCCCCATACTAATGGTCTTGCCGTGACAATAAGGGTTCTGTTTTTTACCTTTTAAAGTACACAATCCTAAAAAGTGATAATCTATTTAATTTTAAACACCAGATACTCGAAAATGGTATTTTAGGCTAAAGATTTCGAACGTAAACTATAAATAATGTCTTGTTTTCGTTTCAATATAGCTTTCATACGATATCGCTGTAGTTTGAACTGTTTATCTATTTAGGGCGAAAATAAAACAAATGACGTAATTTATATGCGTATTTATCCATTTACTACAATTGTTCATTCAAAATTATGTGAATATTTTAGAATTAAAATTGGTAAAAATTTGAAATACTTACGTTCGTAATTATGTTTAAATAATTATGTATTTTTGGAATAGTTGAAAAATATTTTATGTAAACATGGAGCTGTCAAACTTGTCACAAACTTGCGCTTTTGTTTTCGTGCATAGCATTTACTTCCGCCCTGCGATTCTGTAAAAAATCCAGACTCGAATTCGACTTCACTCATGTGTCTGAATTCACGTCATATAGTGTAGAAATTCTATTGATTCCATTTTTTTATGTAAAATACAAAACAAAATTCATTGATTATACGTGTCTCAGATATTCTATTCCTGGTGGATATTCATTGGTAATACGAAACGTTATTACCAATTTAAAATTGAGCGGATGCCGCTTTTTGAAGTGAATTCCGACACCTGAATAAATTCGAATTCTGGTTTGGATTTTTACAAAATCGCAGGGCAGAGCTCTTCTCAAACATTAAAAGTCGACATCAAGAGAATTGTGAATTATTTATTAGAAACAATTTCCTGAAGCGTCATATTTTTGAGATTGTATTGTTATGTTTGTAGTCAAAGTTCAAATGTATTGATCTAATGAGTCAATAACGTAAATTTCAGTTAGGAGGCATTTTTATGTCAATAACGTAATAATGCCTTTTACCTGTAATTTTTAATGAAATCCGCATTTAAATGTAATGAGTCTATTAAAATAATATGTATAAATATTTCCTTTCAAATTTTTTTATTGTATAATAAGCAGTGATCGGAGTAGGTACATTGAATTGGTGTCATTGATCTGTAACGTATACAATAATATGGACATTCCCCGGAACTGATGTAGGAAATGTACCAATTGAAGATAAAGCTTCTAAATCTGATTTTAGGGCAAAACAATTTGGAATCTAATAGCAAAAGCTTAAATTGTGGTAGAATAAAAATTTATTTGAATAGATCTGATACTATGCTTAAAATTTTAAATTCAGTAGCAATAATATCGCTACCATCATTAACGATATTTAGTTGATCTGGAAATGCCTCCGGGTAAGATGTCTTATCCATATCATTATTAAATTCCAAAAAGGTACCTGCTCCGATCACTGATCAAACTAATAAAATCTGTTAATAATAGATTTCTTTATGTATAAAAATCGATTTAAGTAGAGTAGCTAAGAGATAATATCACTTTATCGACGATACAAAGGCCCTACTGAAAGTTTTTGCAAAATAATGTTGATCGCATATCTATCAAAACCGAACGAAGCGGACGAAACGAATTTTCTTTACACCTAAGAAATAGGGATAACGACTAATTTTTATTTGTTTGTCCGCCAGGTAAAAGGTTGAAAAATATGAAACACGTTGTTTTTTAAATTAAGTCCTTAATGTTTTAATAATTTTATATTTCTTGTGATTAACGATACACACAGATACACATACAGTCTTCATCTCACACCGGAAACATAGACTCGACCTAGTCTTACATTTGTTTATCTATTCTATAATATTACAACACACGATTTTTTTTTCGTAATCATTCAATTATGGCGATACATTGAGTTAAAATGTCACATGACGTCACGCTTTGGTACATTTTCTACAAAACTGTGATGTAGTCACACTCCTACCCTCAACATTAATGCCTGTCATTTAAGCTATTTCTTGTTACATTGAAGTAAAAAAAAAAAAATACTTTTCTATTATCTGACTGACGGACTAAATAGATTTTTTTTTACCCAGTCGCCATCCCTATTGATGACAGGAGACATTAGAATTCTGACAATTTGTCGCGTAAGATTATACAAGGTTAAAGGCGGCGGGAAAAACAGTCGCTTTGCATTCTAAAATGCAAAAGAGCTCGTGAGAATTAATAGTTTTGAATAGTTAACCCGACCTTTTGCCAACATCTAATAAACTCCAATATCTCACACTAATTAAGACAATGACTACGTCATCAACTCCAAATACACTAACTTTTGCCCGCGGTTTAGCCCACGTGGTTATGTAAAACTAGAAATAATACCATAAGGGCCTCAGAGTTGTTGTTGGGGTTAATAGTTTGTATGAAACTTCGTTACTACAAGAGTCTCAAATTTTTAAGAACGGGATTTTGCAAAATTCATAACCATACGGACGAAGTCGCGGGTAACAGCTAGTAAATTATAATCACACATATGGATCGATTAATTGTTAATTTTAATACAAAATTACTGATAACCCATGTTTGGCAAAGGCCAAAGGTCGAGGTATCATAATAATGATATATTGTATTCCACTGTAACATACCTAAAATACTACTACAATAATAAAATATGGAAATCAATACTCGATAAGATTACCAACTGAGATTAATGTTTAAAGAGATAATCATAAGTTGTCGCTTATCATAATTAATTGTATGTTCATGTTATATTAATAATTAACTAGTACGAGTATATAATTACAAAGTGTAAAATATAAAAATATTTTCGTAACCCTAACCACCCAGAATCACCTCTATAAAGTGTAATATTATTATAGGACAGGGCTTCGTGAAGAGGATTTGTTCAGTATACTGAATCACTTTTTACTATGGTAGCAACACTGAATTCACATTTAATCAGATGTTTCATACAAAATTGTAATACCTACAATCGTTGACGGTGCGAAACAGCTGATTATTTTTTCGTGAATTCAGTGTTGCTCACATAGTAAACGGTGTTCAGTATACTTAACTAATCCACCCCATAAAGTCCTGGCATATAATAATATTACACCTTATATATGAAACGGTGAATGAATAAGGTGTTATATTATTATGTTGGCCACCAATTAGTTTTACAAAATAGTCCCAAGATTTTAATGAACAATATTGACGTCTTTAGATAGATAGATAGATAATTCATTTATTTGCATTATTAAAATAGCACACATGCATTATAAAATTCTATTACAATAAAAAAAAAACCGCTAACGTGTGCGCCACAACAATGCAAAAGGGTAAAAGCTCAACGATTCCTTTGCTCAAGGAGCAAAGCGCTGATTTTCAGCCATTACCCATTTATTAAATAATAATCTTCTCACTTTAAATATGTTACGTGTACTTTAACTATAATAGGTGTACTTTACCCCTAACATGAGAACAGTTGGCCATCCATTCAGAAAGTAGATCAAGTCAAATATTTAGGAATCATCATAGACCAGAGGCTTTTGTGGCACTCACATCTGGCGTTTGATGGGCTTACTGGACGCACTAATAGTGAAAAAACATGTTTCAATTTTGTTTTTTTATAAAATATCATTGTGTTTCCTTATAAACAAATTGTTAAAGCTAGCTATCTCCAACTTGGTGACAATCAAATTATCTATGAAATGCGTTCCGACTTGAGAATTTTTTTTTAGCTCTAACAGAACTGCAAAGAGCTTGATAATACAATCTGCAAAGCAATTCATTTCTTATATTTCAAAACACCCACACACCAAGCGTACAGTTTTATAATAACACTTTCAAAATTCCAACTTACAAAATGTTAACGAAATTTCCACTAATTTATTTATTGTTTACCAAATGTTTTATTAGTTTTTCTGGTTTGCTCACAGTCAACCTAACACGCTCCTCCTCTCTTCGCTCGTCGTCACGCATAATGTTACCTTTAATATGACCCAAACTAACCTAACTTATGCCTTTTTTAAAAGCGATTCGCTTCTGCCATTTTGTAGGCCGCTGCTAGGGCACCCTCACTTCGCTCGCTCGGCTCGGGCGTTTTTTTTTAATATTCTAACCTAACCTAATGTTTCTGCTACTATACTTATTACTAAATTCTTGAACACAAATCTACATACTCAGAGAAATAACTGTCAAAATATCAAAGTATGAAAAGAGAACTGATATATTAATAAAAATTATTCATTTAATAGTTGTGTGGCCTAGTGAAAGATTGGACAAATTACAAATATCCCAAATATTTTTTGTTACAATAATAATCAGCATAACAATAATTCTACTAAATAAAACATCGGTCGGCAAGTGATAATCGGCCAAACAATTTTCGGCGAAAATGCAGGATTCCCATTAATAGGTTTAATAATAATGCTTACGAAAGTTTTCACGAATCATATCGTTTAGTTTTAGGGCTCATATAATAATTTATGATGAAGTTTTTCGTCTGAGATCTTTTAAACTACACAAAATATTTTATTACGGTTTTCATCAATAAATATACAAATTGATTCAAGACGAAGGTTTACATGTATAATGTAAGGCAGCTAGTAGACTATAATTAACATATGACGTGTATATGTTGTTAAGGATGGTACGTACGTGAACGCGCCCAGCTCGAAGCTGACGTACGGCACGATGATGTTCGTGCGCGTGATGCTCGTGTACGATATGTGCAATTATATGGCGAAGGCGGTCACCATAGCGACGCGCTACTCCGCCGTCAGGCACCAGTCGCAGCTCAAACCGAAGTCAGTATACGTTGCTACATTTATACCTTTTCCATCTCTCTCTCCCCCTCACCCCCTTTCTCTTAACCTCTGTGTTTTATTCTTTGTTTGCTTTTTAGCGCTGAGTCGAAATTAATTTAATATTGTTGTTAGTTTTTGTTTGAATATAGATAAATATTAACTGTATTCAAATAAAATCATTGTTGTTATTTAAAACAGTAATAGTTTCTTATACAAAAACACTGAAACTCATGTTAGGAAGTATTTTACATTGGTAACGATCACCAATTGGAGTACTAACATGATTACGTATACAAAAACATCACTAAACAGCAGAAAGCGATATTTTGTAAAGAAAGTGACTCTAACTACATTTATGCACAGAAAATAATGTGGGCGTTTACGCGGGCGCAGAACGCGTTGTGATTGGCCGGTCGCCGCGCTTTATTAGTATCTAGTTGTAAGCTTAAGTTTTAGTATACGGTTAGAGCAATTTTATAAATATTTATGTCATGCCAGTCAGAAACTGAACGAGCGGTTAGAAGAATAAATCGTCTTGTAGCCTTCCCTATACCCACGAACCTGATCCACCATATACAGTCCACACTTGAGCCATCGAATGAGGATCACCAACATATAACGTGACAATGGTTGCGTTATTGTCGCTATCGTACAAAGAGTTTCTATGAATGTGTGTGTAACAGTGAGCCAGAGCCGCAGATCTTGGACTACGTGACGCAGCAGCACAAGTTGCTGATCGGCATATCGTCGGTGCACGCGTTCCGGCTGAGCGCGCAGTGGCTCTGGAACATGTACAACAACGTCACCGCCGAGCTCGACGCCGGGGAGATGGAGAGGCTGCCAGAGGTATCGTTATTATTTCCATTGTAGCAGATTTCAATTATTTAAAGTATCTGTAATCACCGAAATTAAAGATCCCAATAAAAAAAGAAATTCCAATTTCGTGAAAGTTCCGTATGTTTTTGAATCAGTTTAACAAGAAATGGTTTAGATAATATATAGATATGATAGATAGATAGATAAAAAGTTTATTTTCTCAGCAACACACAATTACATCACACAAAAGAAACAAAGAGGAACAAGAAATAGAAATATATCTGTGTGCAGCAGTTGAGAAAAGGGTCTAGGCTCGGTGCACTAAAATCATCTAATGCGGATGAAGCACCGATTTTCAGCCATCGCCCTGAATGAGATGAGCGGGGACAAAATAATTTTTTAATATAATCGAATGAATAGTAGTATCGGGAAGATATAATGTCAAAAAATAATATAAATAGAAATAAAAATGGTACACAAAAAAAAATCGAGATTAAAAAAAATAATAATAATAATAATAAAAATTAAATAAAAAAAGGCATGTCAAGTATAATTCATGATAAATGATAGTAAAGTGTCGTCATAATGATAGTATAGGCATGTCAAGTATAATTCATGATAAATGATGTGTTAGAAGTCAGATATATATTGATAAGAATGTCAAGATAGAAATATTAAGTGTCAAAAAGGTAGCACGGGAAAATTAATTACAAACATCTGTGAAGTATACGCGACTTTTGTAGATCCAGTAAATGGGATTTAAGTCTTAGTTTAAAAGCGTGAATTGTAGTAGAACGCCTTAAAGGGGGCGGCAAATCATTCCAACACTTTGTGGCCTGGAATCTGAAGCTACCCCTAAATGCTGCAGTGCGGTGACGGTAACAAACCAGTTCTGGTCTTATGGCTCTTATGGTGTACTTTTTGGATGATTTGAAAAATTTAAGCTTCTCATAAAGATATTCCGGCTGTTGATGCTTTATGACGCTAAACAACAAACACGCCAGATGCAGTTGCCTACGTGACTCCATACGAAGCATATTTGCCGAATTTAAAATTGGTGTAATGTGAGCCCGAGGAGGTACGCGAAAGCAAAATCTACAGCACGCATTTTGTACACGCTGAATCAGTCGGCTAGACTTCGAGATATCAAGCTAGATATCAAGAATTAACTTTAAAGTAGGTATATTTGGGGCATGTCGATAGACTATTCTCAGTATAGTATCAATGGAATAAAAACTTTTGTTGTAAACTATTGTTGATTTAGATATGTAATGATGTAAAAATAAGGGGCACTATGTACCTTAGTGGTTTTTATAGGGTCATTTAAACAATAACATTGTATATAATTGTTTGTATCGCTAAATAAATAAAAAAAGATAATAGGCATTCAAGTTGAGGAGTGGGGGCCCGTTACGTCACCACTACGTAGAAAATGTACAGAGGAGTAACTTCATGCGACATTTCTACTTGTAATGTATCGTATAATTGATTAATTACGCAATTAATAAAAGAATACGACTCTGATATCCTTCAACAATCTACTTGAAGAACAGGAAAAAATATTCATCAGCTCTATTGCAGTTAATCGTTCCTAAAAATCTATGATGTCCCTTTCCCTAAATAACAGCGGAGTCATTATCAGTCATCTTATGACTATGAATTAGATAATGGATACTAGATGTAAATGACATAATTTAAAAAGTAACACTTTTTGTATTAATTTGGATTTACTTCTAGAGACTGTCAAAATCTCTCAAATATATAAATAAGTATTGCAATAGTTATTCACTTTTGTATACAATCGCGTCTGGTTACAACTGAGCAACATAAATTATTAATAAATAATGCATGCGCTCGCTCGGCCAGGCGGAAACAAAACTCGTTTTGTCTTGTTTAGACTGTGTCTTTTTCACAGATATATACAAAAACTCGATACTATTGAGTTCATTAGTATAATTGATTTTTGTATAAAACAGGATTTAAGAATAGTTATTTAAGATACGAGTGCGGAAAGTAAGGTTTTACGAATAAGGGCCAAATTGAAAACACGATCGTAGCGAGGGTTTTCATTGGCACGAATTCGAAAAACCTTTTACGCTCAAGTTGAAATACTTACAACATTTTTCAATGCTTTTTGCGAGGAAATAAAACAAATATATAGGTTATTAAAACTAAGTATGTATTAAAGGTAAAAATTATTTGTTAAAATTAAACGTGATATTTGAAGATTTTTTCGTGTCATACATTTTTATTTGAAAATATTCGTTCTAGGCTCCTTGAAATAGGTACTTATGCCTCTAAAGTTTGACATATTTTTATCAATTTTTTTTAAATTTGTTTGATGCTCGGCCAAAAAAAAATTAAAAGAAAAAACTTTTAATCACGTGTGCAGAAAAGGATTTCAGTACATTTATATTTAACACGTGTTTAAAGACTCACTTTCAGTGTTTACAATGGATTAAAAAAATAGCGCTTTATGAGCAACTGCATTGAAAAAATATTTATTCATCAACAAGATAAAACCGAGTCAGAAAAATATAAAATTTAATTATAGTAAAGTGTTACGGCAACAATTATTTAAAAAAAAATGACAAATGATCACCAAAAACATATTTCGATTAAAACTATTTTATTATTGCAATCCCTATTACAAAAGACTTTCTAATTTAATTGTAGAGGGTTAAATGTCAGTTATGGCTATTAAAATTTATTTATGTTTTATTATGAAAATATAATCTATACACAATCTATTTTTTATAACGATGGTTTTTAAATTTTCTTTTTATATATACTTTATACGTTAACGCTTGACTGGAAATAATTTAATAATGATTAATTGATTATAATGAAATAATAATGAAATTTGGAAATACATTCGCACGTTGAGAATGACAATGTCACTAACCAAAAACGACGTATTTTTTACTTTTGATAACATTTTTCTTGGTTAAGTACAAATTTTAAAATGCAAAGATCCCTGTGAACGTAGCTCGCGTAGAAACTGCTAGGTGGCGTAGTGACGATACGTTGTTTAGAGCGGCTGATTACAATTTCTTGAACTTTAAACGCTCATTACTCAAAATCGCATTTTTTGCATTGTGTCACTATCGTTCTCAACGTGCGATATTGCGTGAAATGGACTTGTTCACAAACGTCACCGTACCAACGCTATGTGAAACAGACTATAGCGAACGATATATGTAACGAATTGTGGAGATGATTTAATTTATTTGTGTGTGTGTGTAGCTTCACGCGTTGTCGTGTTGCTTGAAAGCTGTCGTGACAGCGGACGCGGCCGAGTGTGTGGAGCGCTGCAGGCTCGCGTGCGGCGGCCACGGGTACATGCTGGCCTCCAGCCTGCCGCTCATGTACGGGCTAGTGTCCGCCGCGTGCACGTACGAGGGGGAGAACACTGTGCTGCTGCTGCAGACCGCCAGGTAACACGGCCACATGCTGGCCTCCAGCCTGCCGCTCATGTACGGGCTAGTGTCCGCCGCGTGCACGTACGAGGGGGAGAACACTGTGCTGCTGCTGCAGACCGCCAGGTAACACGGCCACATGCTGGCCTCCAGCCTGCCGCTCATGTACGGGCTAGTGTCCGCCGCGTGCACGTACGAGGGGGAGAACACTGTGCTGCTGCTGCAGACCGCCAGGTAACACGGCCACATGCTGGCCTCCAGCCTGCCGCTCATGTACGGGCTAGTGTCCGCCGCGTGCACGTACGAGGGGGAGAACACTGTGCTGCTGCTGCAGACCGCCAGGTAACACGGCCACATGCTGGCCTCCAGCCTGCCGCTCATGTACGGGCTACACGGCCACATGCTGGCCTCCAGCCTGCCGCTCATGTACGGGCTAGTGTCCGCCGCGTGCACGTACGAGGGGGAGAACACTGTGCTGCTGCTGCAGACCGCCAGGTAACACGGCCACATGCTGGCCTCCAGCCTGCCGCTCATGTACGGGCTAGTGTCCGCCGCGTGCACGTACGAGGGGGAGAACACTGTGCTGCTGCTGCAGACCGCCAGGTAACACGGCCACATGCTGGCCTCCAGCCTGCCGCTCATGTACGGGCTAGTGTCCGCCGCGTGCACGTACGAGGGGGAGAACACTGTGCTGCTGCTGCAGACCGCCAGGTAACACGGCCACATGCTGGCCTCCAGCCTGCCGCTCATGTACGGGCTAGTGTCCGCCGCGTGCACGTACGAGGGGGAGAACACTGTGCTGCTGCTGCAGACCGCCAGGTAACACGGCCACATGCTGGCCTCCAGCCTGCCGCTCATGTATGGGCTACCCGTCGTATAGGTATATTATTTTATTTGTTTTTAAAATCTGATACGTTGCCGGATAGTCGCTAGTTATCTTGCTATTCGTCAAATAATATTTTAGCAGCTGGATAAGTCTAATATCGGATAGGGAGACCCCTATAAATGAGACGGTTTATATTTATTATAATTATTCTATAAATATATAATAGTTTTACCTTTCATCCCTTTATATAAAAAAAAATTAGTTGCAAACACTAACAAAAGACCTCATAGACAATATAGATTACATTGTAAATACAGGTTATTAACCCTGTATATGGGTTATTTGTAAAATATTGAGGTCATCGGCCCCAATTTATTTATTATTTTATTAAATACAGGTTACAATTATATACATGAATTAAAGACATTTATATTATAATAATAATCAAACTATAACTCAGTAAAAAAGGTCTGAAACAAAATAATGGTTGACATTATTACCAATTATTATTTTGTTATTTTGACATAAATTTTAAATTCATAAATTTTTATTTTGTTTTCAATTGAATAATTTTTAATGTATTCGTAATGTATTTTGTGATTATTTCATTTTATTTTATTCCGTAATTATGTATAATCTACTTTTTTAAACACTTTGCAATTATTTTAATGTTTATTAATTTATTTTTGTTATTCCATAATTTTAATGTATTTTTTATAAATTAAATTAAGCCAATATTGTATATTTCATGCGATATTATATTTAACCGTTTAGATTTAATAATCTAAAAATACATTAAAATTATGGAATAACAAAAATAAATTAATAAACATTAAAATAATTGCAAAGTGTTTAAAAAAGTAGATTATACATAATTACGGAATTAAATGAAATAAAATAATCACAAAATACATTACGAATACATTAAAAATTATTCAATTGAAAACAAAATAAAAATTTATGAATTTAAAATTTATGTCAAAATAACAAAATAATAATTGGTATAATAAATACAAAAATGCAAAGTAAATACAGTACGGACTACACGAGTATATCTTGTGTTACCATAAAAAGTCAATGATAGACTACCTCGTAATGAGTTCATTATATTGGCGAGACATATGCACTATAGGATTATAAAAAGAAGTATTATTATTATATTAGGTAAATTTTGCATTCACAGTGCTATACCGCCGCCAGGTCACTACGCCACCTATAAACACTATACGCAGGGCTTCCACCAGGTCGCCGCCAGGTCACTACGCCACCTATATACACTATACGCAGGGCTTCCACCAGGTCGCCGCCAGGTCACTACGCCACCTATATACACTATACGCAGGGCTTCCACCAGGTCGCCGCCAGGTCACTACGGCACCTATATACACTATACGCAGGGCTTCCACCAGGTCGCCGCCAGGTCACTACGCCACCTATATACACTCTCTTTACACTCTATACAGGGTTATATCGTTACACCTACACTCTATACAGGGTTATATCTTACCGAGTGCTCATTTACTTTGACTCTTACTCGCCTCTAGAATTCTCGGCCGGAAGTCATTCGGAAGGCAAAAATCAAAAAAGACTAGCGCATGAACACTACTTAATTAGTCCTTAGTTTTACATTAATCCAATATTATGTAGTATATATGTTATTGTATTGTTATTTATCATCATTATCATCATCATCAGCCCTTTATTTCGTCCCCACTACAGGGGCTCAAGCCTTCCTTATGGATGATTAAGGAGCATGAGCCATGACCCTCCACGCTGGCCCAATGCGGATTGGCGGGTATTAACGACTGCAAATGCAGCCGGGACCAACGACTTACCTTCCGAGGCACGGTACCCATCCTATGATCATCCATTGCGAAATATTTCTCTGTAACAAAACTTTGCTGATTTCTGACATTTCCAGTACACGTAACTTAAATGGGCCCGTAGGATATTTTAATAGTCCGATTGACATATTTTTCTTTTATTGTTATAGCTTTTTTATTTGACTAATTTGTAAATGTGGTTCAGCGTATCTTAAAAAATATGGATGATGGCCTGATGGCCTCCTTGTACCGTTTTTGTGTAACCATAGTAGTTACTACAAACCAAAGAGTAAATATCGACAAACCATTCCGAATTGCGTTAAAACAACGAGAAAGTATTAAAAAAAACGAAAACACCATAAAAGCACCTCCACTAGATGGCGACTCTAGCAAAACTCATTTCCTTTCCATTTTAGTTAATTATATATTAAAAAAGTTACATATTAAAAAACTGAAATTTGAAAAGTTCGAAACTTAGATATTAATACAAATGCGAAAAAGTACAAATAGAATATGAGTTGTTTATTGAGTTTTGAAAACTAATTTACTTTTAACATGAAAGAAAACGGAAAGGTTGTCATGGAGAAATCAAGAACGTACAGTAGCGACATCTAGTTTGATTTCGGGAACTAATTTTTTTTTTAAATACTTCCATTTAAAACACAACTTGAATTGAAATGCGAAATTAAAAAATTACCATAGGAATAATAGATTTCCGACTCGATTCCATTTGTCGCCCGTGAGTCTTGACCAGTTGTGAACACAACTTCTGTTGACGAACTTTCAGACTTTAGTATGTATTCCTTAATTTTTTTAAATATTGTTCGTGACAGCTGCACCAGAAACTTATAAAATATATGTATAAACTTACTTTTCGTCCATAACACCATTCTTTTTATAAAAGAAGAAAAGGAACTTTACTTTAGGTTTTTTAGGATTTACTCTTGGTGACAAGTTCATGAAAAATATTCGATTCTTCTTTTGCTTTAAATTAATAAGTCATTAATACATTAAGTATCGCTTAAAACTGAGGGTATGTTCCGATATACACTGCGAGCACTGCGCAGTGGTCTTACTGCTGAAAAATCCGTTCCGTTATGGACTGCCAGTACACTGCTACAGTACCCTAGGGAAATTTATGACGTCATAAATTGCCGCCATATTTGTACTGTGAGCACTGGAGATTTCGAGGTAAGGTGCTCGCAGTGCTTTTGATCACGTGATCAGTCGAAACAGAATCGGAAAATGATAAGTTTCTAAATAAACAAAAAAAAATACTTACGTTTATTTATAAGATGGATTTAATTGATAAATAATTTTTTTACACAATTTTCCAATTTTCTTTTGAAAAGAGGGAATCTTTATATTTATTTTCACCTTGCATTAACAAATTTGAAAATGGCGCCAAAAATAGGATTAACAGTATACTGGACTGCGTTCCGTTTAAAAAGTCACCAGTATAACTAGCTATAAAGGAACGGGTTTCCAATTTACTAAATTGACGTCATACTGTTCAGTGGTCGCAGTGTATATCGGAACATACCCTGATTGATTTATTATTTTCAAAGTGAAGCCCCAATATTATTATACGATTGAGATTACCACCACATTGTTCGTACGTAACCATGATTTTCCCCTCTCGTCTTACATGTTGAAGTATGTAAAGAAATTATATTTTGTGATTCCAGTAAAGTAAGCCAGTGCGTGGCAGCGATCGAGCAACGACAAAAAACTGGAATGGCATATGAGGACGCCTGGAACCTGACGTCCGTGCAACTGATTTCTGCCTCGGAGGTAACTAAATGATAGATAGATAGATAAATAGTTTATTCATACAACAACACACAACTACATTACAACTTGTACAATACAAATAACATTTGAGAACAGAACACGTAATTATATAAGTGATATACCTGTGTGCAGCAGTAAGATAAGGGTCAAGGCTCGGTGCACCTAAATCACCCAAGAATGGGTGAAGCACCGATTTTCAGCCGTCACCCAGTCCAGAGTGAGCGGGGCAGATTATTGTCAGTGTCATATTAATAAGAAGAATTCAAAAATGTCCAAAATAAAAGATAGAAATATTATCAATGTAATGTAAGATAAATAATGCACAGTTCACAAACAACGTACAAAATTAACAACGAAGGGCTAACTCACTAGTTTAAAAATCTCTCAATACCCATTCAATTTGACATTTGATAGATTTTCACGAACTTCACGTTGCAACTATTTGGCATGAGATAGCAATTGCTATCATTGATCTTGAACTGTCTTTAAAAGCTATTGAGAAATGTCAAACAAAATGCTATATAATATAAATAAATATATAATTTTTTGATGTTTTGGTAAGTTTATTTATTGGTCAAATCATTATTTGTTCCTTCCTTGTACTTTAAAAGTTATAAATCGCTACCTTTGAAAGGAAATTGCGATAGATTTTAAAATTAGACAATTAACCCAGTGGTATTTCTTACTTATAACTTACTTACGACGAGGCACTTTCGATAGTGAACAATGCACAAATGCATATTCAGATTTTGAGTCTTTGTTAAACAAAACATCATCCCATGGTATGACGTCATATAGGCAAAAACAATTTCGCTGTAACCTGTCACCAATATGACGTCATGCATATGATGCACAAAGTTTGTGTTAATTTTAATTTAAAGCAAGAAAATATGTTTGGTGGTTGATTTGAAAGTAGATATATAGTAAACATTACCTTTAAATTTTAATAATAATTCTTAGCGAGTAATAAAACAATGTGATCGTGGAAAGTCATAATACAAGAGCTTAAGCTATTTAACTAGTATATAAACTATGCAATAGTATTGTCTAAAGGATATTGCACATCTATCCATCTAACGGAACCCACCGAAAGTGACGAAAGAAAGAAATTTTATAATAGAGTGGGTATTCTACTCTATATGAAATAACACTTGTAACTGTTTATTTTAATTTAAAAAGCCGTATATTTACGAAAAATAAACACGTTTTATTGCTTTAAAATTAACTCAAAAATTTAAACTTCTTTTAAACCCGCGAAAAGGTAGTCCATCATATTCATGACGTCATTGTGATATGTACACAAAATCTTAACTCTATGCACAAAACAAATGCACGGAGTAAAAGATTAAAAGATGTCAATAAAACAAGAACAGCGCCATCTAGGAATTCGATGTACAATTAATAGGCACAGTGGCGTCACAGAATGACAGGTCCTGTTTCAAGTCACGTGACACACAGACAAAAAAAATAAAACTTAATTTTAAGATAATAATCTCTTTGTTTTTAACGAAGTAAATTTTAAATTTTGTACAATTTCGTGGCTTATTTTTCACTACTGAAACTACACTATTCTTTGTATACAAACACAGCATCCCACACGTGTAGGCTCCAAACCGTCAGAATTCTAATGTCACTTATACATTTGCGATGCGAGGTGTACAGAAATTCAGTTCTAAATATGCGATCCCTATTAATTAATTTTAGAGCCTACTCAATATGTAAAAAATACTGAATAATCAATATGTAGGTGATTTTTTTTTATGTTTCATACTGGGCCTTTTGTTCGGTAGGCACATTGCCGCGCTATACTTATGTCCAGCTACTATGAGGAGACTCAAACATTAGTTCAGGACGCATCAGACCCTCTGAAGAAAGTTCTGTTGCAGCTGGTAGACTTGTATGTCGTCTACTGGGCTCTACAGAGAGTCGGCGATCTACTACGTGTGAGTAACACCTTATCTAATAACGTATTATTGTTTTATCAATAAATACGTGTTTTGTTTAACGTAGTTTTCTAAACAAATTAAAAAAAAAAACAAAGCTATTTAGATAATTGTAATAAACTAAAATGTACGATGGAATGTCTTTTTGTATAATTAATTTTAAAAGTTTTAATTATATGTCGGAAGGGTAGTCAGAAGGGCCTATTACGAAGCCCAAATAGATCGTCCATATCGGAGGACTATCTTTAAAATAACACTGCAGGCGTGGTATACCAACGTGGATTTGTTCCATTTTATCACTTTTCATACGAAAATATAACGAGATGAGCATGATGTCGTCGGATGTCTTTACTCCTCGGCGATCGGAAACAGAATGTGTGCGAAAAATGGCGGCAATTTGCTTTTTGTTAACGAACTGTCAAAGTCAGTGTCACCATTCTAATAAAATTAAAAGTATCGATGATCACGCTCTCTCTACAATCGAGTAACTAGCAATTAAAATAAAAGAAACTAAATCAAACGATCTTCGTAAAGATGATGCGACATATAATAAAAGTTGATTATGGAAGTTTTTTGCGAGACAAGAAATCTAGTAGTCATATGTTAAAGGCTAAATTAAATAAGGTTTATTGTCCACGTCACAGAGCTATATTTCACTTCTCATTTGAATGTTTATTTTTATCTTCATTTGTATTGAATTTGTACAGTACACGTCTATATGCGAACGTGACGTGGAACATCTGCAGGCGTGGTACGAGAGTCTGCTCACTCAGCTGCGACCGAACGCCGTCGGACTTGTGGACGCGTTCGATATACGCGATGAGGTGAATATATATATATATATATTTTTATAAATACATGTATATATAAATACATGTTTATATGATTGTACTTTTAAATTGATATATATAAATTTAAAGTGCACGTATTCAGTTTTAAAATAATGACAATCCGGTATGATAATATTACATGTGTACGTAGTGGACGTTCACCTTTGATGTTATTTATAAGCCGCCTGGGAATAAATCATTTGTAAGTTGAAAGTAAAAGGATTTGAAAATAATGATACACTTTTAAGTAATATTCATCATCAGCTGCAGGGGCTCAGGCCTTCCTAATGGATGCTTAAGGAGGATGGGCCGTAACCCACCACGCTGACCCAATGCGGATTGTGGGGTATTAATTGACGACTACAACTGTAGCCGGGACCACCGGCTTAACGTGCCTTCGACCAGTAGCTTTTTTGGTCACCCATCCCGTGACAGACCATTGTGAAAGTTGCTTAACAACAACGTTCGCGGGCGGCAACGCTTATACACTACGCCGTCGAACATATGTAATTATTGTAAACAATAAAAAATAGTCAAAAATAAAGTCGATTCTTTTCCCATTCAACATTCACAATCACAGTATGTACGCTATATTAATACACCATCAGGATCCAATTGTATCTAACTGGTATAAATTAAAATAAATCTACAATAGATTCTGCATTCTGCGTTGGGTTCGTACGACGGTCGCGTGTACGAGCGACTGATGGAGGAAGCCCTCAAGAGTCCACTCAACAAGGAGCCAGTCAACGAGAGCTTCCACAAGTACCTGAAGCCATTGATGCGAGGAAAACTGTGATCTGAAAAACGTTTATAAATTTAAAGCCGTATACTAATTGGCTAACAACATAACGACCCAATTACACGGTGCGATTTCGTCGTGCGATGCCTAATTCTAAGTGGCCTAATTTAATCGCACGATTTGTGGCCGGGCGAAAAGTATTTCTCAAAAATTGCCAATGATATTCAGGAAAGAACACGTGGATCACATTAGGTAAGATACAGATTCAGAAAGTAATGCTTGAAATTTTGCAATAAAATTTTTGACGTCCTATTTAGACATTCAAAAGAGATCTGATAATTTCAGATTGTATGATCGCCTTATTCAAATTGATATCATGTTTGTTAAAAAGTATTTTGTTTGAAACAACGACAGCTTCAATCAGAACAATAAAAAAACAGATTTATGTGTTTTATCTTGTCGTACGACAAAATAGCGTCGTTTGCTCGTACGATCGTTGCCAAGAAGTCAACGCCTTACATTGTTATCTTTGAATACATAATTGTCTATATCGTCATAGTACAGTGGCACAACTCAAAAACCATTATTTCGAGAAAACGTCACAACATTGTGGTGGCATCCCATAGATAATTTAAAGAAAAAATAAAAAACTTAACAGCAATAATATAATACAAACGATTTAACTGTTATGCTAAAAAATTTGATTTTCATAATTTATAATTATGAAAATCAAATTTTTTCATATTCAATTTTCATAACTTCGGAGAGCGTTTCTCGAAATTATGGTATTTGAGTTGTGTCACTGTACTATTCAGTGAGCAATGTATAGTGTCAGAGCGCCTATACCCTAAAAAATATATGGTGTCACCCTGTAAGTTCAAAACGCTCGCTCTGTGTCAAAACTGTCGCTGTGAGAAAAACATGTATTTAGTCTTGTCTTGAATCAATTAAAGTATTAGAATTTGAGAAATTTAATTACACGTGCGAGTAGCTAGAGCATGTATTTTATGTTTTTAACCGTACAAGTACAGTAGCTCATCAAGTTACTACAAAAGGATAAATTAATTAGATCACAGTTAATTAAACATAAAAGACATGCTCTAGCTACTCGCATGTGTAATTAAATTAAACTATATTTATTCGAGTAATTATACGAGAGATCATATTTTAAGGAAATTGTCAAAAATAAAATAATAGAAAATTATTTATAAAATAATTTTATGTTATTTTGGATTTACAATGTTATATTACAATTATCAAATATTTATTTATGATTTTATTATAAGTACAAATCAATCAATATATTTTTTAATTTCTAATTGATAAGTATCTATAGTTAACAACAATATGTTGATGGGTTAGTTCACACTTGTATTCATTGTGTAATTAATCAAAGTATAAACCAAACTCATATTTTCAGGTTCAGGCACATCACATAGAACAAATTTAATGTAAAAAAATCTAATTAATTTAAACAATAGCGTGCTGGTAAAAGATGTCATAATTATATGAGTGGAAATATATTGTACTCATGTAATAATTTTGATGTGCTGCTTAATGTGCACATGGCTGCACGTCAGATTACCACAATATGTCAAATTACTGTTATGAATATGACCTCTACTCTTAAGGTATTAAAGTTTAAAATGGAGTGGAGAAACTTTCCATATTGTATAACCTAACGTGCTGTTAACTGTACAATAATTTAAAGGTTTCTGGTGCTATCTTATGTTATTTTTTATATAAACTGTGTTGACATTAAAGGTGATGGAGATATTATACATTCCTTTTTATAATTATTATAGTTAGTCAACTTCGAAATTGTTATGGAGATTATTTAATAATAAGAGCTTTTGTATTTTGTGAAATAAAATATTGAGTGTACTTCACTTGGCATGTTTCTTCTCGTACCATTGGTTTACCTACTCAAAATATTTACCTAAAGCAAGATTTTTTTTTAATTGGAAGTAGATGTGGTGCTATCATATGACATATTCCGAAGTCATGGCTTTCAGGTAAATGTTTTAGATTTTTTACAGACAGATTCCTTAGTCCAAAACAGACTCCTGCAATAGATCAAGACTAATCGAATAAACTCTTCCATGAATAAGCACAAAAGTTGCCATAATTAATCAGTATTAAACAATTTGTGTTAAACGAGAACTATGACATCATACTATGGGCAAAAACAATACTGTCATAGTTTTTCGCAAGATGTCGTTTTCGATACAATCAATGTTCTAATTTTTGAGTTTCTTACCAAATTTAGGTTTGTAAATTATTAAATTGAGTTTGTTTAATCACAATTACCTTTTAGAAATACACAAACATATAGTTGGACGACATTAAAAATTACTTTTTATGTCATACTTTTTAATTCTAGGTACTTACTTTTTTATTAATCTTTTGTAAAAATATTAATAAAATACAATAAGTAATAATAATTATCTGTACTGTTTACGAATACAAATACATGAATATGTGCGATCATGGAAATTATGTGTTTTAAATAGTATCACTTCATACAATTACATTCTCAAGTCAATACTACACTTATTAATTACAGTTATCGTCATTTTACAAGTATTTCTCTATTAATCAAAGTAAAAAGTATAACTATAATAATAATAGGCTTACAATACGCTTGTGTGAAACTTGTGTCTCTAGAAAGGATTCTGATGAGAGGTATGTTGCTTTTAAAGGGACTAAAGCGCCGATTTCACTACCCAATTTATTACACTGTGAATTGGGAAGTCTAATCGCTGTTAGAGAGTTAGGGTCCCGATATCGGGTGATCGTGAGCGCCCGACCGCCCGATCTCACTAGTTAGTGTGTTAGGGCCGATTTATCGGGCAATGTAATCGTTGTTAGTAGGGAATGCAATCTCGTTCTTGCGAGATTGATTCTCGAGGCCTTTCTTAGCGAGATTGATCTCGGTCGAAAAATGGGCGAGGTCTCGAGAGTTTAACGAGATTGCACTCGAGCATAAAAATGATTTATTCTAAGTGAATTTATGCGAGTCCGAGGGGTTAAAAGGCGAAGTTTTACACTTTTACAGTACTTATGTTTTCGAAAAGGTCTTCTCAGTAGATGGTTATCTGGTCAGCACGATAATAAGATGAATTGCAAAGATTCTTTGGACATTTTGTGCTTCTTAAGAAGCAACTTTGAAAATTATTTGATATTCGATTCACATTACGCGTCATAATAATGAAGCCTTTAAATTGATTGGTATAAGTATTTTGTTAATTTATTTTCTAGTTTCTACAACACATAGTTTTCTTTCAACTTAGGTAATGAGTTAAATTTTAGTTTTTGTATTTTTGTTATAAACAACTGTATATTATAATTAAACTTTTCTTTGATATTAGCAGAGAAGACTGGTTGTTTATTTCATTTCGTATTTGATTAAATACGTCAAAAGTTTAGTTTTTTAAAAGATCCTGATCCAGGTCTGACTGTTAGTCACAAAGATTTTAGATAAAAAAATATAATTGCGTCAAAGTTAAATACATAAAACTTTATTAAAATTAAATATATATATATATATATATTTTTTTTTTTTTTTAATAAAATGTGGAGGTGGTCTTCCAGAATAATAAATACAGAAAGTTATTATTAACATAAGTTAGCCAAAAAGTTCTACCAAAACCAAGAAGTATTTGGAACAAGTGTCATATACATATCAAACACCTATGAGTCAAAAAAATAGTATTATTTAGTTTATATTTTCCCTTATCATTTAATTATTTCATTGCTACAACAAATTTAAAATAAGTTTCTCACACATATCATAATCCATCGTGTTTAACCATTCTTTTAACATTGTTTTTATTTTATAGTTGGACGTTGTGACTATATTTGGCATATTATTGATTATTGCATTATAAAAACGTGGTGCAACTGACTGTTAAAGTTTCTTTTAGCAAATGAACTTTTAACCGTTTGAATAGGGAATTTGGTCTTTCGTCTATGACCTCTTGGTGCAAGATTAATTTTCGGAGCAATCGATCTATGATATAAACGTAAGCAATTATAAAGGAATATTTTTTTTCCAGTGCAAAAAATTTTTTTGGTGATTCAGTATCAGTAATAGAACACTTTTCCATATATATTTTTTTTATATTTTTATCCCTATCGAAACGGTAGAATATGGACACATTTTTTAAAATAAAACTTCAATGAAAACGTCTTCTCTTGCGTATACCACCGTGCATCCCCGCCGCGCCCGGTAGCCCCGCGCCACAGCTCCCGCCGCCCCGCCGGGACCGAGCACGCGCACGACACTGGCGGCAGTGAGACTCATACGCACGCGCCGAAGTGACATGCCCTCGGGTTCCCGCGCACGCGACGTGCCCGCCGTCGTGAGTTTTACGAGATGGTACAAGTCTATCTTCTGAGTGGTGAGAACCTACATTAGCGCAATTCGGAGAAATTATGCGACGAAGAGCATACCTCGATTGCGGGCCTTTGGGATCCGTAACCCCGCGGTCTCTAATGCTTCGAACTATTTTAACAGACGAAGTCGCAGAGTCAGTACCCACGATGCGGCATGTCTCTTTGGTGTGAGCCAGCCTGCGGTATTGAAGCTGCTAAAAACAGCCGGACTCCATCCGTACCACTTTCAGCCGGTTCAGCAGTTCCATGACCTAGACCCAGTACCACGTCGAGCCTAATGTGAATGGCTTCTACATCACCGCGATGCAAAGATCTTGTGGACGGATGAGGCATTGTTCACACGTGAGGGACTGTTTCTTATGGGAAGAAGTCAAACGCCGGGATGTAGAGGAGGCACAAAGTCTAGAAGACTTAACAATAAAAAATAATAACGCTTTTAGTGAAGTGAAAAGTGACACTAGTGTTTTAAAAAAATTAAATGACAATTTAATGAAATGTGCACGTTTATGTCTGGACAGACGTGGACTTCATTTTGAACAAATATTAAAATACATGGTAAGTAATTAGTTACGTATTTGTTTTGATTCAACGTTATTGTAAATACGTAGTTGATTTTTTAAATACGCCTTAACGCAGAAGTACCTATGTAACTTCGGCAT